AGCCAGCTACGGTATTCGGAGTTTTGCTCCGACTAATTCATTGGTCGACCCGGGTCGCACACCTGATAGTGGTGGATGAGTCTCCCAACAAGGGTTTTCTGCATTCAATAAGACTCGAACCCGAGATTTTTGCTTAAACGACATCAAGCTGCTTACCACTTGAGTCAACCCATGTTAGTAATTTAAATGTATTTCGATAGGACTAATTGAAATATGTAGGTAGATAGATAATAAGTTTGGCCTAGTAAGTGAATTCAAGCTTAGACTTGGTAAAAATATAGTTTATAGATTATAAATTATGTGATAGTTGAATCGAGCTTAGAACAAAATTTGGCTCCGAAGTCTCTAATGCAATTCATAAGGATTTGAATGGATCTTTGGTTAAACTATATAAATTAGTTTAAATAAAAATTAGTCTCTCAATATTGTGTCCAAATGAATATTTTGACTTAAGAAAGCATAAATTTTCAAAGAATTGTCTAATATATTGTCCCTGAATTGGTGCAAGGATGTATAAATAGTTATGCTATCAACACGTTAACTAAATGAGTCAATAATAAAGTTCAAAATCGACTTGTTTGTCAATATTATCAAATCGAACTTGAACTTTAATAAATTAAACTATATCTAACTTTTATCGAACCAAGCTCAACCAGACTCAATAATTAAACAGTTTTTTAACAAGTTTGAACTTTAATAAATCGAACTGAACCAGTCAAACTCACAAACGTGTTCGTGTTGTTATACGGACATACAAAGATAATATAACGAAAGCTGCTTTTATTATTCAGAAAGATTTGAATTATAAAAAGAAAGTCGAACACGAAGTTTATTGAATGTTATAGTTTGTATTTTTTGTTGTCCTGCTTCCTTGGAAGCTTCTTCTCTTTCTTTTATATCCCTTTCAACATTATCACATATACAATCATTAAATCAGAAAAGTCAATGGCGGTCGATCGCCATACATTCTCGTAGCACGCCACTTGACACGGTATAATGATGATTTTTGCTGAGTTGGCGCCGCCTTATGATGTCGGTTTGACAAGTCATAGATATCGGTTCACTAAGTCATAACCGATATGAGATGTCGGTTCTTGATGAGGATGCCGGCTTCTGGCCTGTCTTTGTCCAATATGTAATTACTTGAAATTTGCGAGCATGTCAATCATTTGAGGTAGTATAATCTTCTAATTATTAAGCTTTGAACGCCAATGAGTATTAATAATTCGGTGTATCGAAAACCATATCAACAGTTCGCATGCCATTTTACATGAATTATGTCTCTTTTTTTTTTTTTTCCTTTCCTTCTTCGTCTGCATCGTTTGATTAGGAAGCTAATGTATGTTTTTCTTTTTTTATATGTTTTGACTTATTGATTTAATTGAGCCCTTATAATGTTATATCACACTTTACATTTTATTTATTTATCCTACTAAAAAGAAGTAATAGGTTTTTCGTTTTTTTGGTACAAAGAGAGAGAGTTGTTCACGAGTTACTAGAGACACGAGTTACTAGAGACAAGCTCGTTCCGTGGATAAGAGACACCTTTAATAGTTAGATGATTGGTGAGAGGTGTTGACTACGTGGAACATAGATAGTGGATGCCGGCTTGACGATGCTCAAAGCTCAATAGTCGGCTTAGAACCAAGTCAAAAGTCAGTAATAAGCTTTCCAATTTATTACAAATAAATATAAGGTCACCATAAAATAATACCCCCCTCCCACAAGTACTAATTTGCAAATAAATTAATGTCAGACAATGCATGAAAATATTATATATTATTTTCAATAAATATGTAAGGTCTTTATAATAAAGGAACATAATTCAGAAAAGCATAATAGGTGGACATAATCACATAACTAACCATTACTACAATTTGTGTTTGCAAAAAGACCATTTGCAGAATGATACTTTCTCAAAAACTGCAGCTATATAAAGAATGATAACTACAATATATAAGAGAGTCAAAATGAGCAGTAAAAATTTTTTACATCCAGCATAAAACTTTCATATAGCTCAATACAAATTAAGTATCAAGTTCTGAACACATATATGGCTAGTTGTCCAATATTCTTTTACATTCTAACTCATGACCAAATCGCAAACGACAAGGTACAGACAGGAATACAAGTACCTTTACCGGCCCGAACAAGGACCACTCAGGATCATTGACACGGACCCAACGTACAACTCTAACACCTAAGGGCCATCTTCCTCAGCTGAAATATTGTAAAATTAATTGAAAAATTAAATTAAATTCGAGTGATCTCACATGTCAAGGAAAATGGATGCAAGATATTTGTCACTTATTTCCTCGCTTTTTTTTTTCTTCATTGTGTTGAGAGAGAGAGAGAGAGAGAGAGTGAGAGAAAGAGAGAGAGCTTACTGCTTAAAATAAACCCTTGAAGCAAACTTTGAGCTCTCTCGGCCTGCTCTGGAGTACCTGATATTTGAATGATCTTCTCTGTTGTCTCTGGCCTGTCATCAATAAGTTTGATGTTTGCTCCCGAAAGCTGTTAGCATAAATCACGACAATTAGTTTTTGGGTACTCAAATATGAAAAATTTATCAATTTAGAAGCTCTGGGGCACCCTACCTCGCTTATTAAAGCTAGCTTTCTTGATTTCTTTGCAAGTTCAGATGCAGCATGAGGTGGTATAACAACTTCCAGTGTACTTCTGGTGACAAGTGGTACGGATATTCTGCATGAAAATATTGAAAAAGAAAACGAGGAGAGAGAATGATGAGTAATATGAGCATGATGGCTTCCAATGGGAGAGAGGATAAGGGAAAAAAAGTAAAAGTTAAAATAAAGTTACTAACTAGGGATTAATTTATACGCATACCTATTCAATCCGCTGGGGAGTTCTTCGCGTCGTTCACTCTCCTTTTGCTTTGTCTCGACATTAGTTGGCCCCACATCCTGCAAATTAAGTAAATTGTTGAAGAAATGAAAAATTAATGGGGCAGAAGTTTTGAAGGGTTGGAAACACTCGTAGTTAATAATTCAAGTTCAAACTGATAAAGCAAATATTGCAATTATAACAGATAACAGCGTAAAAAAAATGTACAGATCTAGAATATTTAATGATGGAGCAAAAATAATTAATAATCGGGTTGGTTAAAGAAACTAACTTGATAGGTTTGGTCATATAAATACACCATTAAAATTTGTTTCAAGTTGACACAGAGCACCCTCAAAATTGGCGACATTTGTTGTATATATACTTACCAAAAGCAGAAATAATTTATGATTTTGAAATATCGCCGTAGTGTCTGTAGTTGAGTTAAACATCAGGGTAGTATTTGTAAATCTAATAATCCTTAATGACTTTTAACCAACAAAACAACGCGTGTTGGAAATTCATGAGGAGAAAAGCCAGTTACCTTCGCTTTCTGAGGGGCTGCAGCAGCTGATGAACTCTTGGAAGTTGAAACGGGACCATTTACAGCCTGGATTTCTGAAGATGGAAGTGCATTGTTTCTAGAGACTTCCTCTGGTTCCACAAGACCAGCAACATCCTTCTCGAGGTACTCCCGGTATATGTAACTCCGAACCCTTGATGTCACCTCCACCAGAGCATCTCGGGCAGCTTTGATCTCCCCAAATATCTATATGTAAGAAAAATTTAACGACTCAAACCCAGAGTAGTGTAAGTAATACGTCAAAGAATAGAATTCTTGGTAAGAATATATCAAGAAACAGGCACTAGAAATTAAGAACTATCGACTCTAAACGAGGTTAAATAAATACAAAAACTGGTGAGATTACAATGACGACCATTATGCACTCTCCAGTAAAGTTTTCTTTGGGTTTTTTTACCAATCTGGAAAAAAATATCACAGGGAAAAAGGAAATTTGAGAGACAGTAAAAGTTGGTTTTGTTAGGTTTGAGTGATTTTGAATTTGTATTAAAATAATATTTAAAATATAATGATTAAAGTTGATTTGATGTAAAAGTAAGATAAGAGTGATTGAAAGTGATGAGTAGTTAAATTGTTAAAATATGTGAGAGGATGAATCGTGAATTAAGTTTATGGGATGTGTAAGGATGATTGATTGATATTATTTACTTATATAGATAATATTGAAGATAGTGGGGTTGAGTTGAAGATAAGTTAGATTTGAGCTGGGATTGGATTATTTTTGGAAAAATCTATAAACAAGCAAGCACTAACAAACCTGCACAATCTCATGTGCCCCTGAAAAACCTTCAGGAAGCTCTTCTCTAGGTAAGATCTTTACATTTGCACCACCTATTTTATCCAGCTCAAGCAAAGAACCAATTTCATCCGATTGCAAAAGTAACCGGGTGGTAATAATATTTTCCTTTTCTGGGACAAGATCAACAATGCGGGTTTGTATATGCAACAAAGCTTCTTGCGCGGGAAACAACTCATCTTCTGGACCCTAATAGACATACAAGTTAAATCAGCTTACAATACCTTCTTGAAAACAAATGAGTTAAAACTAGTTAAACTTTTGTCAAAACTCAAACTGATAATCCAAAAATTAGACAGCTCCATGCAATTATATAGCTTACCTCGTCAGATGATATAACTATTACAAGCTCCTCCGAGCCATCAACCAGATCCGAAACCTCAACATTCACGCCTATTTCATTTTGAAGCAAATCCACAATCCCTTCCGACTCGCCAATAACGCTATCAAGTTTGTCAACAGGACAAAGTATGCGAAAAACGAGATTGTCACCAGAGAAGCCATGAGCATTGTCTGCTAGAGAAGTGGGTTCAGATTCACTGGCGAATCCAGATGAACGTGAAGAAGAATAATTGTTGTTCCTTGAAGAATCAGAGTGTCTCGATCCAAAACTCGGCCCTTCAAGAGATGACCGTCTTACTTTGCTGTATGCATGGAAATCATCATCGGCAGGGTAGAAATCATCGGGTGGATGCAGCCGATTAGTAAATTGGCCTCTATCACGATGCTGGCTCTCTCTCAAGCGAGACGAAATTATTGCTATAGCATTCTTCACAGCATTAACATCACCAACCACCTGCAATAAAGAATTATATTCCATTGAACTAAAAAAAAAAAACACCCTCAACCGATGACATAATATTGAAAAGTGCACGACATCGTCAAATAATCAGGTAAATCATCTCCCTGAGCTGGAAGTTCATTAATTCTCTAAGGAAAAAAAAA